GACACAGTGCCCAGACGGTGAGATATATACCACATCTTCCCTTGATGCCTCTGGGGCTTTGGAACATTTACAACACATCCCAACTGGTCGTCGAAGGTCGAAATGGGAAGGCGGGGAAATCTGAAATGCCCATCAACGACGAGAAGAAGGGAAACCACTACCATCCGGCATAAGGAGTAACATAAGAACTGACATTGCCGAACCCAGGCAAATAGAGTGGTGATTGGCCTGCAAACAACCGTGTCATCGGGTTATTGGTTGTTCAGGTCAAAATACAAGACGCATCCACCGTCAAACTCGGAAACTCTGCCAACAACTCGACGCACTCCGCCCCGGATTTGTTTGCCGAAGTCTGGACAGATCTCACGAAGTCGCGGCAAACTTCAGAGACGCGTGACGCGCAGAGGGCGTCTTGGCGAAGGCCAACTCAAAAATCCCGGCCCCGAGCTGCCAAACCAACACACACAGAATGAAGATATACACCAGGTCACCCAATGGCTGGCACATGGCCCCCCCACATATCTAAAAAGGGTATACATTGCTGGTCCCGGAATATTTGCATACACACATACACATGGTTGACCATACACAAATATATATATATATATACCTAGATCTTCTTTGAGAACAATTTCCCAACATGTTCCTTAAAAAGCAAAAAAAACACGCATTGTTGGAAAACACGCTCATTTACCCAAAAAACACACATTTCGGTTCGACCAGCCATGTTCAAAACAAGTTGGTTTTGGGCTTTCCGCCGATTTCCGCGCATTCTCCGCCGATTTCCGCGCATTTTCCGCCGATTTCCGCGCATTTTCCGCCGATTTCCGCGCATTTCTGGTGGCCAAATTCGCAGGATTTGCCACAAAATGGGTGCGGAACATGAAATTTGCAGTTTCCGCGTAGATTTCGGAAATTCCGCTCAATTGGCAAAATGAGCAAAAATAACGTAATGAGCAAAAAAATGTTCCTTTTTGAGGGTCCAGGTATATATACATTGCGCTCCAAGCGGGCGCTCGCTGCCTCCCTTTTCCCGGGGCCGGACGTTAAAACCAGAGGCTGCGACCTTAGGTCAGCAGCAAATCCGTGCATGCCCGCCATAAACCCCTCCCGGTGGTTGCCTGGAAATCAGCTCACAAACAACATAACCTTATTTGGGGGGAGGGGGAGTATTAATCAGTGCCGGCCCGCAACATAACTTTAATCGGATTTGTTAGTCATAGCTCGACATTACAGGGTCTCCACACCGACATTTCCTTTGGGCCCAAGACTGGCTGAGACAAAAAAACTCGTCAACATGCGCGCGTGTGCGTGCTTGTGTGTGTGTGTGTGTGTGCTGTGTGTGTGTTGTGTGTGTTCTGTGTGTGTGTGTGTTGCGTGTGTGTGCGTGTGCTGTGTGTCGGTTGTGTGTGTGTGTGTGTTGTGTGTGTGTGCTGTGTGTTGGTTGTGTGTGTGTTTGTGTGTGTGCTGTGTGTGTGTGTGTTGGGTGTGTGTTGCCTTTTTGTGTGTGTGTTGTGCGTGTGTGTGTTGTGCGTGTGTGTGTGTGTGTGTGTGTGTGTGTGTGTGTGTGTGTGTGTGTGTGTGTGTGTGTGTGTGTGTGTGTGTGTGTGTGTGTGTGTGTGTGTGTGTGTGTGTGTGTGTGTGTGTGTGTGTGTGTGTGTGTGTGTGTGTGTGTGTGTGTGTGTGCGTGCGTGCGTGCGTGCGTGCTGTGCGCGCTCGCGTGCGTGCGTGCGTGCGTGTGTGTGTGTGAGTGTGTGTGTGTTGTTGTGTGTGTGGTGGTGTCTGTGTGTGCTGTGTGTGTGTGTGTGGGATGTGTGTGTGTGCGTGCGTGCTGGCGTGCTGGCGTGCTGGCGTGCTGGCGTGCTGGCGTGCTGGCGTGCTGGCGTGCTGGCGTGCTGGCGTGCTGGCGTGCTGGCGTGCGTGCGTGCGTGCGCCGTGCGTGCGTGCGTGCGTGCGTGCGTGCGTGCGTGCGTGCGTGCGTGCGTGCGTGCGTGCGTGCGTGCGTGCGTGCGTGCGTGCGTGCGTGCGTGCGTGCGTGCGTGCGTGCGTGCGTGCGTGCGTGCGTGCGTGCGTGCGTGCGTGCGTGCGTGCGTGCGTGCGTGCGTGCGTGCGTGCGTGCGTGCGTGCGTGCGTGCGTGCGTGCGTGCGTGCGTGCGTGCGTGCGTGCGTGCGTGCGTGCGTGCGTGCGTGCGTGCGTGCGTGCGTGCGTGCGTGCGTGCGTGCGTGCGTGCGTGCGTGCGTGCGTGCGTGCGTGCGTGCGTGCGTGCGTGCGTGCGTGCGTGCGTGCGTGCGTGCGTGCGTGGGTGGGTGGGTGGGTGGGTGGGTGGGTGGGTGTGTGTGTGTGTGTGTGCGTGCGTGCGTGCGTGCGTGTGTGTGTGTGTGCGCGTGTGTGTGCGTGTGTGTGCGTGTGTGTGCGTGTGTGTGTGTGTGGTGTGTGTGTGGGTGGGTGCGTGCGTGCGTGCGTGCGTGCGTGGGTGCGTGCGTGCGTGGGTGGGTGGGTGGGTGGGTGTGTTTCTGTGCTTGTCGCTTTGTGTTTGTGTGTGTGTGTTTGTTTGTGTGTGGTTGTGTGTGTTTGTGCGCTTCAAAACATTGGGAACCCACAAAACTGCTGGTTGGTTTCATGGCTTCACGGCTCGCTCTTTCAACTCAGGACACCCACATGTACACCCCACATTCGTTGTACAAAGCGGGTGGTCCAAAGATGTAGGCCGATGGTTGGATGGCTGTGCTAAAGCCGCAAAAACGAGGAGCGCTGCCCTAGATTTGGAAACGCAAATGCTCATTCCAGAGTGACATGGGCAACATCCAGTCCAAATTGTCCGCTAAAATGGTCGCAAGTCCAACTCAAGTGAGAAAAGGTACCACAAGGGAGGGCTTTCTTCGAACGGACCTCTTAGCTTCATGCAACAGGTCCAGGTCGCACGCTCGAAATCTCTTTCGCAGAGTGACACTGGAAGCAGAAAGGCAACGAATAGGATTCGTCAGAAGTTGCCCAGAAATCACGGGGATATGTCGGCGACTCGTCAACAGAGTGTGGGTATGTCTCAAAATACGGCCTACCCCCCAAACTAAAGTGGTTCTCATTTGGGTTTCCCTTTTGAGCAACCTGAGAACCGTATCCGCTTCAGGACACCCAAAGAACACCAGGGAGTTCTCCGCAAAGAGGGGGCCACCGAATTCAGGAAAGCAGGGGCTTGTCTGCTATTGAGGGTACCCTTTTTGGTTTTGATTCAAAGAGAAAAAATGGAAACCAACCGTTTTGGGGGATGCCCCGTTTCGAGAACTGAGCCAAGGCCGCAGGGAAATCGGGGAATCCCAGTTTCCCGGGTGGAAAACGAGAACGGCAACCAAGTTTAGAAGGGAACCCGCCAACCAAAAGGGACAAAGGTTGCCGCTGAGCAAGTGCGCAACACAAACGGATCTCTGAAGACTGGGGATCCCGAGTCTAAACCAAATACTCCAGCAGAACGCGCGACCTAGACAGGCGCCATGCCAGCCGGAAACTGCGAATTGGTTCCGGCCGCCGCGAGCGGACATGGCGAAGAGATTTCGCCTTCCAACTTCACAGCGGTCCAAATTGACGTTCCAAGCCTCGGGCGCCTTGCGCTTGAAGGATAGGTTTAAGGGTAAGGGGGTAAAGTACCTCCCGGAAAGGTGCCAAGGGGGGGCCCCCTGACACTCCGCTCTCGCCAGGCACTCGCTCGCAGCCGCATCGCCAGCTTGCTCTAATCAAACCGAATTCAGGCGAATGAGGCTGTCAAAGCTGTGGCTTGCACCAAGCAAAACCCCGTGCACCCATTTCGAAGGGTTGTAAATCGAGGCTTCTCTGGTTGAAAAACGGTCGATGACCTGTTGACCCCCGTTTGTCGCTGAGCTAATGTCTACTTTGTCATTTCGTAGGAAAGAAGGCCCAAAACGCGGTTTTCCCCGAGGCCCTTGGCAGCAACGACTGGGTCTCGAGAATGGCCGAAAAAAGGACAGCCCAAGGGTCCATTCAAGTGATATCCGCAAGACCGTCTTTCCTGGTGATGTGGCCATGGGTCAAAACCCCGTACCAGTGAACATCCCCATCCCCACTGAAATCTCTACTAAGATGGGTGGTGAAATCACCTATCCCAAAATGGGATCCCAAAACGGTTTTGACAACCACAGCCATGTGAAGGGAAGCCCAAAGCAATGAGAACCAAGTGTTGACTTGGGACCCCTGAAAGTGGAAGCCACTTGACACACGCCATTCTGGCGCAGTCCTGCATGGAAAAGCTCGCAGTTCACCGGAGCTTTTAAATAAACCAAGGGCATAACGACCTGCCTCTGGAGTGCCCCAAATCTGTATCCTGATTTACCCCTTAGATCCCATACATATATACAAGTGCATATATATATATATGTTCCAGTCCCCAAGGGTAGGGTCCCCCCCCTCCTCAAGCCCCTGAACTCCCACCCTTGCATCCCAACACGTAGGACAACTCAACCCACAACCAACCTTAAACCTCAACCTAAACCAATCCTACACCCCTAACCCTTAACCCTAACCCTAAACCAAACCTAAATCAACCCTAAACCAACCCTAAGCCAACCCAAAACCCACCCAAAACCCACCCTAACCCCACTGTAAACCAACCCTTAACCAACCCTAACCCAACCCTAAACTAATCCGATACCCACCCTA